TGGACTCAGGAGGTCAAATCCTTTCGATTGATTTATTTGAGGGTAGGCTGGTAGAGATCCTGATGAGTGACCAAGTCGAATCGAGTATATGAGCGCCCCACGCTTGGTATTGCTAGCGCACAAAAATATAGCTAATCAAAAGAAAAAAAAGGTCTCATAGATCAATTTACTCTAATCCTGCCTAAAAGAATTTCAAGTGCCGCGGTTATTGAGGATTCCCTCTCGTTTTGGATAAAGTTCCAGGTTTTACTGCGTTTTGCGTTGTGTAACCAGAGCATGTTAATTGTTAAGACAATGTGCAGGCTCTACTATGTTTTACGTTGTGTAAACAGAGCATGTTAATTGTTTAGACAACATGCAGGCTATACTATGTTTTACGTTGTATAACCAGAGCATGTTAAGTGTTTAAACGAGTGCGGACCGTTTCACTTAATGAGAACAATATGCACACTTGTTTGAATTAGAAATGTTCAAAATCGTACAATCATCTGTGCTTCGTGACAACTATCGAGTGTTCTTCTTGTGTAAGAATGTCGCTTATTCACAGGAATGAATAAAAACACTTTTGTATTCCCTAACGAAGCATAAACACATGTATTTTTATATAACGGTAGAAAAATTTCATTGAAAAAGCGTTTACCACCCTAATAGCCACATTCGCTATTACTATTACCTGCTTTATGTTGGAATAACCCAAACGATGTATACTTTTTTTTTACGGTTTTCTAAATTATAAAACAATACTGTATCTTGTTTTTTTTAAGTGTTAACACTGTGGTACGATATGCTTAAGTGTCTCTATGACACTGGATTTTTTTACCAATTTTGTGTTTGTTTGTTTGTTTTTGAATTTTGCGCAAAGCTACACGAGGGCTATTGCAGTGTAAGACTAGAGGGAAGGCAGCTAGTCATCACCACCCACCGCCAACTCTTGGGCTACTCTTTTACCAACGAATAGTGGGATTGACCGTCACATTATAATGCCCCCACGGCTGAAAGGGCGAGCATGTTTGGTGGGAGGGGGATTCGAACCCGCAACCCGCAGATTGCGAGTCGAGCGCCCTAACCACCTGGCCATGCCGGGCCCTTAGATTTGTGATTAACTCTCTATTGGATGCGTGATGAAAATACGGTTGAAAAAATACGGTTTCTTTGAATTTCTTATAGAAATAGGTATATATATATTGCACACACAAAAATATATGTTTTTCTTGTTAAGCAGAAAACTACACAATGGGCTATCTCTTCTCTGCCCACCACGGGTATCGAAACATGTTTAATGTGACGTGGATTCGAACCCGCGACCCGCAGATTGCGAATCGAGCTACTTAACCACCTGGCCATGCCGAGCCCACCAATTTGTGATATGTTTTGTCTTATCACGTGGCTTTTGTTTGTCTTCTTATTTTGTTTATTTTAAGCGCAAAGCTACACAAGGACCCCACAGTGGCACAGCGGCATGTCTGCAGACTGACAGCGCTACAAATCGGGTTTCGATACCCGTGGTGGACAAAGCACAGATAGCCCATTGTGTAGCTTTGTGCTTAGTTCATTATAAAACAAACAGCTCTGTGCTCATCGCAACAATCGTTAAACGTTATTAGTCTTCAAACTCCCCCTTGATTCATCGGGAGGAAAATCACGTAGAATATAATTATGCTAAATATGTGTAGAAAACAAAAGACTTATATCTCTTTCTGCTAATTTCACCTAAAATAAACTTTTTAATATTATATTTGTATTAATATTAATGTTAATATTATATTTGTATTTGCATAAAAGAGATGCTTTTAATTACTTTACTTGCTATAGGCAAAAATTTCATAAGGGATACCATGCAAATCACATTTGAGGGTACTATCTGTAAAATAAGTTCGTACGACTTACAGCGCTATTACATTTCATGAATAATCTCATAAAGTAGTTTTTAAATGCACAATATTATGGGAAATACACGATCACGACCATGAGGATGCAAAACTATTAAAACTAATGGACTTCTTTTCCCAACTTTAGGCAGAGTATTCATGATGAAGACGAAAGGCGGAAGACATTCAAAATGTCGTCCTCTATACGTGTGTTTCTACAATAGGCGGTTGCCGTCCATTCAAACAAATTTAAACATGTTAAAAGCTTATCAAAGTTTTTAAAAAGGTCTACCGTTACGTCGTAGAATAATATTATAAGTTTATTTATTGATAGTATTAAGTATGGTAAAGTTTAGCCCAAACTAAACTAAAGCAAAAAATGTACATAAATATCACAGAGTTAATTTGTCTCTTTATCGAATACGGGCCGTACTTAATAAAGGTTTAACTGATGTTAAGCGTAAGAAAAATGGATTTACAGGTCTCAGTGTCTGCGACTTTTCTAGAAATCCTGTATTTAAATAAGTACTGTTACAATATAGATATTAATTTGACCACAAATGCGGGTCTCTGCTAATTTTTTTAAATTAGCCAAAAGCGAGAGGCATACAAACATAAAATGGCATTTATTTAAACCACAAATACTATGCTTTCTTGTCTCTTCTCCTAATACTTTTTTCCTACCTATACCAATCTCCAAATTAGAATTTGAAAATCTTAATCGCGTCATAGCATTCTTAAATGCCTTAATAATACGTATTCTACAAATCGTATTTTTTTAGAAAGTTTAATATGAATTTGATATAGACTGTTCCTTACATCTCTCCCAACACTCTTGTTTTTCGCAGTACATGTAATCTGAATTTCTTTATAAATTGTTTTCTTCGGGGGATTTTTTTTTCAGACTTTATATAATGTTTTAAAATTTCTAGCCACAGATGTTGTGTTCGATAATGTTAAAACGTTATATAGGCATCGTTGAACATTAGTCCATTAGCATACATAAAATTATGCTTTACTACGACTTTTTAAGACTTTTTACAACATCTTTTTTAACTAATATAACCCAAAATTTTGCACAGATAATATTATCTAATATTAACTATAGACAGCCCCCGGTGACCCAGCAGTGTACGTGAAAATGTATAATGCTACAGTTCGCAATTCGATCCCTGTGGTAGACACGGCTTACATAGTTCACTTTGTATTTATGCGCTTAAAACAAAATATACGAACATATATTCTACCAGGAATACCAATTATTTGAATATTTTGTTTTATTTGAATTAATTCTGCGTATACCTGATAAAATAGAATATAAATTCCTGTAGTTGCTTTTCAAATTATTTTCTCACCTTTGATCTCAGTTTTGATTATATCAGCTTCATGCCTCAGTTCTACAAATCAAAAACTACATTTCCACTACAGATCACATAATCATTTATATCATTTCCATCTTCAGTTTTATCCATTTTATTCGTCCCGCCATTCAAAATAAGTACACAATTTACATTAAATAACTATTTTAAATATCTGTAATAGGTATTTATATGTATTCATCTCTATTTACACATTTTGGAAATTCCTCGTATTTATCATATTCACTAAAACAAAATCTGTAAAATAACATTATTTATTGTCCTTTTTAATTACCATTACAAGCATTAAAGACATATGTAAATAAATAAATATATATATATATATATATAATAATCAGTTTTAGGCTCTTTCTTTTAATACCATGAAACAACTTACAAATATATATTCTACCAGTAGAATTATTGCTCCAAGTACGTAAAATTATTTTTTTTTGTAATTTAATGTTTTCATTATCTTTGTTTTTGTTCTACTTTCAACTGTTTCCCTTATCCAGTCGTTTCCTTTAAATCATCTTTCATTACTTCATGTTTCTTTATAACATATTCTAGCTTATATTAAATGCTCCTTACAGATACTTTCAAATCTGCCTGTACACCTTTTTAAGTTGAAGATCCCTTATGGCACAGCGACATGTCTGCGGACATACAACGCTAGAAACCGGGTTTCGATACCCATGATGGGCAGAGCACAGATAGCCCATTGTGTAGCTTTATGCTTCACTTCAAACAAAACTTAAGTTGAATTTCTGAAAATTTGGACCCTCCCCCTTCCGAACTTGATGGAAATGGCCACCCTAGTCATCCCCTCCAACAATTGCCTCTGCTTTAACCCCGAAAAAGCTCCCCAGTGGCACAGTGGTATGTCTGCGCACTTACAACTCTAGAAACTGGGTTTAGATACTCGTGGTGGGAAGAGCGCAGATAGCTCTTTGTGTAGCTTTGTGCTTAATTACAAACAAACCCTTGAGAAAAAATCGGTTACACAAGCATCAGTTGGCTGATACCTAATTTACGCAGAATACTTGCAAAATATGAACTTGTTGCTCATGTGCAACACTTATAAAATACATTATGACTCATCTCATGAATGTGTGGAAAGGGTCACTTTAAAACTCTTCTGTTTACATTTACAAGGCACTCAATCTAGTAAAATAGTATCACACAATTATTATTTCATTCATAACTGTATGCTTACTTTAAAACCTGTAGAAATATATTCTTCTGTGTTCCGACGAGTTCATGTTCTATTCTAATTACATAAACAATTAATTTAACCTCAAAGCAAAAATAAAAATAAGAAACTCTGTAGTTAGAATTTACAGCTTGTAATTGTTTTAGACATCACTGATATAAATAAAATCCTAAAACGTGCAATAAGTTAACCTCGTTAAGGTTCATATCTACAGGTATATTGCCCTATACATCTCTGAGGATTACCAAACAAATCGCATATATATCTGAGACTCTACAAAAGCTAAATGTATAGAATTACGGAGATAATTTTAATCTTTAATGCTAGATTAATAACAAATATGTTTTTTCTAGATTCTCCTGAAGCCCCTCTTCACCGCTAACAAGAAGATAGCAAATATATCATAGATAATATTGAATTACGATGTGAATCTTGTTTACGACTGCATTGTTTGTAATTCCCTTTATGTTAGCGATAAAACTTTATCCTCACTACGAGATTGTTTATGGTTGGGAAAATCGACTACCAAAAATCTCTAATGTTCTATTTCTTTTCTCCCAGGTACATGGCCATCATGCATCCACTGAGGCCCCGAATGTCTCGAACAACAACTCTCATCATTACTCTGTGTATTTGGGTAGCTGGAAGTCTTCTCTCCTTACCCAATATTCTCTATTCCAGCACTATCACAGAAATGTTCTCGAACGGCGACTACAGAGTTATCTGTTTCATGGTCTGGCCTGACGGATACTCGAACGATAGTTACACTGAGTACATGTAAGTTCTGTACAAATGTTGCACTGGGTATGTGTAAGTTCTGTACAAATGTTGCACTGGGTATGTGTAAGTTCTGTACAAATGTTGCACTGGGTATGTGTAAGTTCTGTTCAACAGTTGCACTGGTTATCCGTAAGTTCTGTTCAACAGTTGCACTGGTTATCTGTAAGTTCTGTTCAACAGTTGCACTGGTTATCCGTAAGTTCTGTTCAACAGTTGCACTGGTTATCTGTAAGTTCTGTTCAACAGTTGCACTGGGTATCTGTAAGTTCTGTTTAAAAGTTACACAGACTACATGTAAGTTCTGTAAAAAAGTTACATTGATTTTGTGTAAGTTCTGAAGTAGTACGCTGAGCACATGCATTTTCTGTATAATTGTATATGTAAATTCAACCTAGTATTTCACCATGTATTATTACTAAGCAATACAATTGTTAATTACTTTGTTCAGACGTTGCACTGAACGACAAATATATTTTGTCGGGTCGAGGATATACAATGTATTCTACACATTACATTTATATCTAGTAACTTTAATGTATTATTACATTAGTAACTGGAATTATGTGAAAAGTTAATTTCAGGCATATTTAATTCTCTTAACACTTCACAGGAAGTAACGACTTAAGTAACGATCTTTGTAAACACTTCATAAGGTATTGAAGTTTGCTTAGGTGTTAATCTCGTTTCTGCTTGAGACAAATGCAGGTGTTACAGTTATTCTGATTTATGTCTATGTGCTATTTATCTTTATCTAGGTAAGTGTATATTGATTTAGTCTTCAACTGTTAAAGCATTGTTGTATTATTCTATTGCTAAGCAAAGTATTTTCACAATTTTAGTCCTAATGGACAGTATATTTTCAAAGAATATTAATGCCTTGTTTATAACGCCATTAAGAGGGGGAAGTTCAACCTTTATCCATTGTAAAATGCTGTTATGCTAGCGTTTAAGGTTAGCCTATGTGTTTGGTTTATATAAAAACGATGTCGTATGAAGGATATTACAGTCAAAAGCTAATCAAACGAATGTTTAAATTCTAGACGTGCTTGCAGATTATTCGGAAAGCATATCGAATAGGATTTTTTCTTTTCAGAAATAAGATTTTGCTAAACAACCCTCATGTTCGTCGCTACATTTCCTCTATTTTTTGTGACGAATGTTGTATTGGTTTTAGAATATTCGATAGGTTTTGAACAATAGATGGAAATATCGAAAGGCTTAAAGAAATATTTTCAACATAAGTAAAACAAAATGGAGAATTAATATTTAATTGGATTATCTTTCTTTTTTTAGCCCCCCAATGGCACAACGGTATGACTGTGGACTTACAACGCTAGAAACCGGGTTTCTATACCCGTGATACGCAGAGCACAGATAGCCCATTGTGTAGTTTTGTGCTTAATTAGAAACAAACAAACAAAATATATTTATTTTTTTAAACATATTTGCCTAAGGCGAGACATGGCATAGTGGAAGACGTGCAGGACTGCGTATCAGATGGTTTCAACTATAGAGATGTTATAAATATGGCGTCCATCACGTTCTTCAGTTAAGAATAGCCATGTTGGTGGTGGGTGCTGCTGATTGGTTGCCCTGCTTCTGCTCAGAAGTTCTTAATGGTTATACATGAACTTCAGTGGTCTCCTATCAGGCCGTTTGGCTTGTGTCGAATAAAGTGATGTTCAGTTTGAATCTATCAAATTCAAGTACCAAAATTCTTGACTTAGATTTGTGTTTGTTTGTTTGTTTGTTTTGAATTTCGCGCAAAGCTACACGAGTGCTATCTGCGCTAGCCGTCCCTAAGTTAGCGGTGTAAGACTAGAGGGAGGGCAGCTAGTCATCACCACCCACCGCCAACTCTTGGGCTACTCTTTTACGAACAAATAGTGGGATTGACCGTCATATTATAACGCCCCCATGGCTGAAAGGGCGGGGGAATTCGAACCCGCGATCCGCAGATTGAGAGTCGAGCGCCCTAACCACCTGGCCATGCCGGGTCCTTAGATTTGTGATTAACTCTCTATTGGATGCATGATGAAAATACGGTTGAAAAATGTTTCTTTGAATTTCTTACAGAAATAGGTATATATTGCACACACAAAAATAAATGTTTTTCTTGTTAAGCAGAAAACTACACAATGGGCTATCTCTTCTCTGCCCACCACGGGTATCGAAACCCGGATTCTAGCGTTGTAAGTCCGCAGACATACCGCTGTGCTTCCGGGGGGTCGTATGTTTTTATAAAATATATTTTGGTAAGTTATAAATGAATAGATTACCTAAAAGTAGCCTTGTTCAGTTGAGTAATCCACCAAAAATTATTCCATAGTTTACACTGCCACCTGGAAGTAACAGCATTCAACTACAGTATTGAAGCATTTGTATGTGTATTAAGGCAATAAAGATAGACTTGCTACCTGTACGTTACAGTGTGCAATAGAGGTTAATGGTACAATATCATAGTGTTAAATATACATTTTTTTTTTTTTTAGCTGCGGCATAGCTGCTCATAGAATGGCTCCGAGTTTTTCAAATACAAACTTTTAGCTCATAGCTCCGTTATCTCTTGCCCGATTTTAAATCTAATTACAGTTTTAGACTCAGAAGGCCAAAGCCTTTCGATTGATGTATTTAACCACACCCGAGGTCTCATAGGTTAATTTACTCTAATCCTGCCTAAGATAATTTAAATTTGAGGGTAGGCTGGTAGAGATTTGATGAGTAATAAAATCGAATCGGGTATAAGCCCGCACCACGCTTGGTATTGCTGGCACACGAAAATATAGTGAATAAAAAGGAAAACAAGAGGGAATCCTGAATAGCCACGGCACCTGAAATTCTTTTAGGCAGGATTAGAGTAAGTTAACCTCTGAGACTTTTTTTCCTTTTATTAGCTATATTTTTGTGCGCCAGCAATACCAAGCGTGGGACGCGCTTAATTATACCCGATTCAATTTTATTACTCATCAGGACCTCTACCACCCTACCCTCAAATTGAAATTATTTTAGGGAGAATTAGAGTAAATTAATCTACGAGATCTTGAGGGTGGTCAAATAAATCAATCGAAAGGGTTTAAACCCCTGAGTCCAAAACTGTAATTAGATCTCAAATTGATCTAGGGATGAAGGAGCTATGAGCTAAAAGTTTGTACTTGGAAAAACAACAACAACAAGTTCAGAGCCGTTCTATGAGCCGCGGCTTTTTAATTAGATTTGTAATTAGATCTCTAATCGGTGAAGAGATAACGGAGCTATGAGCTAAAACTTTGTACCTGGAAAACTGGGAGCCATTCTATTTGCCGCTATACCGCGGCTAAAAAGGTCTCATACATTCTTTTACTCTAATCCTGCCTAAATGAGTTTCAATTACCGCGGCTATTGAGGATTCCCTATTGTTTTCATACTGATCAGTATACTGCACATTGTCAGTAAGACATTTAATATATATTCTTATCATAGATTCTGAAAATATTTAGATTATCGTGGTTTTGTTTTATGTCACAAAAATCCTACTTTCTGAAATTTTACGATGATTATAAATGACCTAAAGTTAGGCTTTGAAATTATTTTTGTAACGATCTAAATATTTTTAATACACTTGAACTGGATAAAATTCTATAGTTATAGCGAAATTAACAGCAACTTTTCGTAGAGATATTAAGACCATGAAAACAGGCGGGAAAATAATATCGTTTTGACGTTTCACAACATATATCCTAATAGTAGTGTTACAACAGCGGAAGTTGCGTGACTCTGGGAGCATGCGCGCTGGAGTTTATAGAATTATCGGGGAACCCCACGAATGTCCGAGTGTTTGCTAGACGCCCTCTTTTTTTAGTATATAAGCCTGGCAAAGAAAGCCAGCGAGATAGATAGATAGATAGTTGAGTCAAGCGAACAGTAGGCACTGTAAGTAAAGTGTGTGAATCGCTGTGATTTATAGCGTGTGTATTAAAAGTTAAGTTTAGAGTGACTGTGGAAATTTTGTGTATCACAAAGTTGTATCGAGAAAGAATAAACTAGTTTTAATTAAGAAAGGACTTGTATCACTGAAGTTCCTCGGAAATAATTTATACCGGAAATT